TTGTTGAAGGCCTTCTCTGCATCTATTGAGATAATCATGTGGTTTTTGTCTTTGGTTCTGTTTATGTGGTGGGTTACATTTATAGACTTGTGTGTGTTGAACCAGCCTTGCATTCCCAGGATGAAGCCTACTTGATCATGATGGATAAGCTTTTTGATGTGCTGTTGCAATTGGTTTGCCAGTATTTTATTGAAGATTTTTGCATCTATGTTCATCATGGATATTGGCCCGAAGTTTTCTTTTTTTGTTGAGTCTCTGTCAGGTTTTGGTATCGGGATGATGTTGGTCTCATAAAATGATTTTGGAAGGACTCCCTCTTTTTGGATTGTTTGGAATAGTTTCAGAAGGAGTGCTACCAGCTCCTCTTTATATGTCTGGTAGAATTCAGCTGTGAACCCATCTGAACCTGGGCTTTTTTGGTTGGTAGGCTATTAATTGCTGCCTCAACTTCAGCCCTTTATTTTATAAGGGGTTACCCCTTTGCTTATCTCCTCTCACACTTCTCCTCCTGCCATCATGTGAAGAGCATGTTTGCTTTTCCTTCCACCATGATTGTAAGCTTCCTGAGGCCTCCCCAGCCCTGTGATACTGTGAGTAACTTAAACCTCTTTCCTTTATAAATTGCCCAGCTTTGGGCAGTTCTTCACAGCAGCATGAGAATGGACTAATACAGTAAATTGGTACCACAGAAGTGGGGTGCTGCTATCACGATATCTGAAAATGTGGAAGCAATTTTGGAACTGGGTAACAGGCAGAAGTTGGAACAGTGTGCAGGGCTCAGAAGAAGACAAGAAAATGTGGGAGATTTGGAAGCTTCCTCAAGAATTGAAGGGCTCAGAAGACGGGAAGATGTCAGAAAGCAAGAAACTTTCTGAAGATTTGGTTAAATGGCTTTGACCAAAATGCTGATAGTAATATGGACAATGGAATCCAGGCTGAGGTGGTTTCAGATGGAGATGATAAACTTTTGGGAACTGGAGTAAAAGTCATGCTTGCTATGCTTTAACAAAGAGACCTGTGGCTTTTTGTCCCTGCCCTAGAGATCTGTGGAATGTTGATCTTGAAAGAGGTGATTTAGAGTATCTGGTGGAAGAAATTTCTAAGCAGCAAAGCTTTCAAGAGGTGATAGAGAACACACATTTGGAAAATTTGCAGCTGATGCAGTAGAGAAGAAAACTCCATTTTCTGGGAAGAAATTTAAGCTGGCTGCATAAATTTGCATAAGTAATGATGAGCCAAATGTTAATCACCAAGACAATGGGAAAAATGTCTCCAGAGCATGTCAGAGACCTTCACAACATCCCTTCTCATCACAAGCCTGGAGACCTAGGAGGGAAAAATGGTTTCCTGAGCCAGACCCAGATCCCACTCCTGCTCTGTGCAGCTTTGAGAATATGTGCAATCTTGGGGCATGGTGCCCTGAATCCCAGTTGCTTCAGCCCCAGCCATAGCTAATAGGGGCCTAGGTAGAGCTCAGGCTGTTGCTTCAGAGGGTGCAAAACCCAAACCGTGGCAGCTTCCACATGGTGTTGGTCCTGCAGGTGCACAGAAGTCAAGAATTGAGGTTTGGGAACACCTGCCTAGATTTCAGATGATGTATGGAAATGCCTGGATGTCCAGGAAGAAGTCTGCTGTGGGGGCAGAGCCCTCATGGAGAATCTCTGCTAGGGCAGTGTGGAAAAGAAATGTAGGATCAGAGCCCCCACACAGAGTTCCCAATGGGGCACTGCCCAGTGGAGTTCCGAGAGGAGGGCCACTGTCCTCCAGACTCCAGAATGGTAGAACCACCAACAGCTTGCACTATGCACCTGGAAAAGCCAGACACTCAATACCAGTCAACGAAAGCAGCCAGGAGAGAGGCTGTACCCTGTGAAGCCACAGGGGCAGAGCTGCCCAAGGTTATAGGAGCCCACTTCTTGCATCAGTGTGACCTGGATGTGAGTCATGGAGTCAAAGGAGATCATTTTGGAACTTCAAGGTTTAATGACTACCCTTTTGGATTTTGGATTTGCATGAGGTCTGTATCCTCTTTGTTTTGGCCAATTTCTGCCATTTGTAAAGGGTACATTTACATAATGCCTGTACCATCATTGTGTCTAGGAAGTAACTAAGTTGCTTTTGATTTTACAGGCTCATAGGCAGAAGGGACTTTCCTTATCTCAGGTAAGATTTTGGACTTGGACTTTGGGTTAATGCCAGAATGAGCTAAGACTTTGGGGGACCATTGGAAAGGCATGATTGTGTTTTGAAATGTGAGGACATGATATTTGGGAGGGGCCACAGACAGAATGATATGGTTTGGCTGTGTCCCCACTCAAATCTCATTTTGAATTGTAGTTCCCATAATCCCCACATGTGGTGGGAGGTAATTGAATCATGGAGGCAGTTTCCCTCATGCTATTCTCATGATAGTAAGTTCCACAATATATGATGGTTTTATAAGGGGTTTCTCCCTTCATTCATCACTCATTCTTCTCCTTCCTGCCAAGTGAAGAAAGATTTATTTGCTTCCCCTTCTGCCATGATTGTAAGTTTCCTGAGGCTTCCCCTGCCCTGCACAACTCAATTAAACCTCTTTCCTTTATAAATTATCCAGTGCCAGGCAGTTCTTTATAGCAGTGTGAGAATGGGCTAATACACCTAGTTGAAGGCAAATAAATACAAGCAGAGAAACTCAAATGGATGAGCAGATCAAGATATCCACTAAATTTCAAAGCCTCTTACAATCTTCTATACAACATTCTGAGACTTTTCATGGCAAAAATAATACTTAAATATTGAATATGTGCAAAGGAAATTTACTTGTTGTTGGACATTTTCCCAAAGTTTTCTCAGTATTAAAAATGCCCATTGATGGCAGATTGGATAAAGAAAATGTGGCACATATACACCAAGAAATACTATGCAGCCATAAAAAAGAATGAGATCATGTTCTTTGTAGGAATACAAATAGAGCTGGTGGCCATTAACCTTCGCAAACTAATGCAGGAACAGAAAACCAAATACCTCATGTTCTCACTTAAAAGTATGATAAAAACACATGGACTCATTGAGGGGAACAACACACAATGGGGCCTATTGGAGGGTAGAGGTAGAAGCTAGGAGGAGGGAGAGGATCAGAAAAAGTAACTATTGGGTATTAGGCTTAGTACCTGGGCAATGAAATAATCTGCATAACAAACAAACCCTCATGATATCAGTTTACCTATACAACAAACCTGCACATGTACCCCTACACCTAAAACAAAAGTTAAAAAAAAAAAAACATATCCTTCCAATCTCTGGAAGTTGATTCAGTTCTAGCCTTGCCAGAGAAATATAAATCTAGCTAAGAATAGAGATTGACAATATGGTTTCCTGAAAAGTACTCTGTGCTGTAACTTACACGCCAAAGATCCCAGGCAGGGTTTCTGTGGGCCAGGGAAGCTGCTGCTACTGCAGGATCCTGTCAACATCACACTGAGTCATCGTCCACAGTGATGAATGCACATGATCATAGTGCTCTTCTAAATACTATATAATTTAATGTTGATGGAGTCATGGTAGTGAGCAGTGAGATCTCTCCACTCAAAACATCTACGCTTGCTAAATTTCACTAAAGTAGAATTCTGCACTGCACTAGGGAGGGTCCAATCTTTCAGCACAGAAAGACTAAACTGCCTGACCTTCCCTACTCTAGCATTTGCCCCTCAATTGAAGGTGAACTTCTGCTTTGGAAAATCAGAGGCTATTTCTCCTGAAGTCAGGTAAGCCGAAGTCCTTATTTAGGGTGTAAACTGTGATTGTCTCTGTTGGGCTAGGCCTAAACAATGAACCAGGGCTCTGATCCAGCAAAATCTCCATTTGGGGACTTCACCAGATAACTATTTGTTGGCAAGATCAGGCTCAGTGTAACCTAGCTTGGTGTAAGTCTGGACTTTAAAGACTTGAAGTGATGGAACAGACAAGTTAGAGAGCTGCCAACTTTCCTATATATGTACAATGGCAATAAAACACACTAACCATCATGATTGTCATTTTGTATGCATCAGATATAATTCACATTTTATTTACAAAAAAAACTGATCAGTGATCTGAAATTCTTCATTAGTGAAATTTAACAAGCATAGATGTTTTGAGTGGAGAGTCCTCACTGCTCACTACAGTGACTCCATCAACATTGAATTAGATGGCATCTGTAAGAGTACTATGATCATGTAAACCTGTCATACAGTGCTGTTAACCATACTCGCATGATAGACCAACCTCAGTAAGACACTGGATAACATGGTTTGTTGCTGATGCAACATGGTTTTCTTTATGTAGCTAGGTCACTGATCAGTTCAAAACTTACTGCAATAGAGAAAGTGATACCTGTGGGTATTCTCAACTGCTTATGACAGGGAAACCAACCGAGCTCAAGACCTAATAAGCAACACCTGACCGTCCTGGTAATCAAATGAGCTGTAGCAAGAATATGAGTTCCTGGATCAAAGAAACCCATAGAATCTCCATAAAATATAGCAAAAACTACAAACTGGTCCCGGAACCTTTCATATCCTAAGCTTCTTCTCTAAGAAGCTCTTTTTTAAAGTCTCTCTCTTTTTCCAGAGATGAAGCAGAATATGCTGACATAGACAACTTGACGAATACATTTTAATGCTTCTGTATTAATGCAGTTGCATAAAAATGAACATGACAAAATGTTAACAGCACGATTTTACTCAATAATGTGAGTAACAGAAATCAAGCTCTACTCCATTCCCAACCCCCTCCTCAACTCCACCCCAGGGGACATATTCAGTAATAGGCTAAGAATCAAGGATAGAGTGGTGATATCTGTTTTGCACATTACTTAGAACATTTTTCAAGCATTTCATGAGGTTTTTACAGGAGGCTAAAAATATCTACAAAAAGCCACATCCTAAGGTTATATAGCTAACCACAGAACATGACCCACCTCCACTCTATCAGAGACTGAATCTCAAAATTTCAGGATAAGATAGTAAATCAGTATTCACCTTGCAGCTTTTCTCTAACTTCCTTCCTGGGCAAGGGACAGGACATGTGAATTTGGTGAAAGATCCTGAATCAGCACTGAAGACAACATCATCCGAGATGAACGCCTTGTGATTGGATGAAACAGTATCAGCTGCCATGGGCTAAAAAAAGGCTTATCTGATAAAGCACAGGATTCTGATGTTGAAAGGTGATTAAGGAAGTCAGAGCATGTTAAATATTAAGCACTTCTTGGAATGCGAACTCTGTGCTAGAGGTTGCTGCATCATAGGAAATGAATCTTCAGAGGACCTCAAGGTCTTTGGCTCTAACACTGCTGAAGCACAAAAATGTCAAAGTATCTAATGAGTTCCAGAACCAACACTAAAAGGAAACATGACTGCTTGAGGGCATGCCCCAAATCTCCAGATGTTTTCTATTCAGGCTCCAATGCCATCGCCCTCCAAAACCATCAGCTCCTGGGGAAATACGGTTAAATCTGTCATCTTGGCAAAATTCAAATGAAAACTCTTCTTTGACATTGTATTTGTTCTTATTTGAAAACTTTACTCACCCTCCTCCATAATAGTATCTGATTTCTCTGATTCTTCCTGCTGCTGCCACAAAGGCCTAGTTTAAGTAGTCTATAAATATTTGAGCACCTATTATGTGCCAGCACTCTTTGAGGCACTAGAGAGGCAGATGCAGTGACTAGCAGATTTTGACACTCCTTGTCAAACTATTTAAACCATGATTTCAGCAATATTTGACTTTTCTGACTTCAAGTCCACAGTGTCTCTTCATCACACTGGGATGGTCTTTTCCTGCCTCTGGTACTGTGTAACTCATATCCCTGTAGCCTACAAGAATTTCCACTCCTAGAGCATCTGATTGCCCCTTCTTAAACAAGAATGGTCAAACTTACTAGTTTCTATTTCAGGAGTTTCCATCCCCAACCATCAGCCAGTACAGCCATCTTCAATCCTCTGTGTGCAACGTCCAACTTCCCACCTTTTCAGATATGCCCATTCCAATCTTACATCACCATGGTCTCTATTAATGCATGACAAAATAATATATAGTTATACTATTATTTATAAATAACCCAAATAACACTACATACCTGTCCACTTGTGGCTCTGAACATCGAGAAATACTTGTCTTCCACCTTTGCCTCATTCAAATACCCTCCTCATCTTTATCCTTCTTTTCCTTTTCCTCCTCCTTTTTTCCCTCCTTCCAGGATGTTCTCAAAGGCCAACTTCCCTATAAAGATTTTTCTGCTACCTCTAGAATTAACTTTTTAAAAAACAATGTTGTTATGGCATCAACATACTCCAAAATATGATAGTTACATTTTGAAAACCTATCATGCATGTTTATACCTGAAAGGTATTCCTATGTTTCTGATAATTTCAGTGCGTATGTTCATTACTCCACTCTATATTTGTATATTAATTTAGAAAATTTCTTTTTTTTTTTGAAACAGGCTCTCACTCTGTCCCCCAGCCTGGAGTGCAGTGACGTACTCTCAGCTCACTGCAACAACATCTGCCTACTGGGTTCAAATGATTCTCGTGCCTCAGCCTCCTGAGTAGCTGGAATTACAGGCGCACTCCACCATGCCCGGTAATTTTAGTATTTTTAGGAGAGACAAGGTTTCACCATGTTGGCCAGGCTGGTCTCAAATACCTGACCTCAAGTGATCCACCTGCCTCAGCCTCCCAAATTGATGGGATTATAGACATGAGCCACCGCGCCTGGTTGATGATTTTTTTTGAGTACGATTACTCAGCAAATGGTCCTTGATATTCACTATTTGAAGTACAGTAAGACAACACTGTTCTACCACTTCTATGGAAGCTGATAACTTGGAAGATAAAAGAAAAAGAAATTAGCAAGTACAGATTTCTTATCTTGGCTTCATTTGGTATTAGATTGTTAGATTTAGGAAGAGGAGGGGTGGAGGAATTTTTTTTTGAAGTAATGGGTTCTTTTGTATGCTTTTATTGGATAAAGCACTGGATCCAGAAAACTTAGTATATAAGTCACAGATGATCTCCTAGAAATTGGCCCTACACCCTTGAGAAACCACTCCACATCTTTGCAAGACAACTCTTCTCTCAGAAAAAAAAAATGAGAGTTGGGCTAGAAGGTTCTTTGATCCCCTCAGAGTGCAACTGTTATTCATAGTTTCCCAAAAACTGTACAAATTACCTAGGCAGAAAGGTATGCCTAGGTCATAATCCCTTTCACCTCCAATTTGTATTTACTAATATTCCAGGAGTTGGAAGATATGCTGAGGGCTTCAGAATATTTCACTGATAGCAGCAACAAAAATGCACTATTAAAAAAAGGGTATCAGGCCGGGCGCGGTGGCTCACGCCTGTAATCCCAGCACTTTGGGAGGCCGAGGTGGGTGGATCACGAGGTCAAGAGATCAAGACCATTCTGGTCAACAAGGTGAAACCCCGTCTCTACTAAAAATCCAAAAATTAGCTGGGCATGGTGGCACACGCCTGCAGTCCCAGCTACTCAGGAGGTTGAGGCAAGAGAATTGCTTGAACCCAGGAAGCAGAGGTTACAGTGAGCCGAGATTGTGCTATTGTACTCCAGTCTGGGTAACAACAGTGAAACTCCATCTCAAAAAAAAAGGGGTATCATTCCATTATTAAACCTTGGTGCACACCCTAAGAACCATCTAAGCCATTACTGGAAGCTCTACTAAACGGGCAATGAATCATACTGCATTAACTCCTGAGCAACATTAACAATGTAGAGAAACAACCAAATACATCCAGGATGGTAAATATTCACAAAACATTACATTATTATCACTTAAATTTATCCACATGTAAATTGGATTAACTGGATGAAAATGAACGCTGGGGAACTTAAAAGCCACTTAAAGTTTTCATCTAGCCCTTACATAGGGTCCAAAAGGCAGCCCACATAAAGAGGGGAGTGGCCAGGTGCTACACATCATAATCTAGGCTTTCAACCACAGCTGGGATTTCGAGGTACGAAGAGAAAGAATAAAACATTTGTGTGGAAGATGAGATAATATAATAAAGGGGACCAGTCTCATCTAAATGGTGCTCTTCAACTGGAAACTTAGTAAGTTCCCTCAACGCATTGGGCACAAACCTCCCCCTACCTGCAGTTAAAAGAATGCACGAGATACTGGCCCACACATTTCTGTGTGCTTGTAATCAAGTTGATGAGAAAATGAACCAGTGCTCAACCCACAATTAGGAAAACTCTTAGAGATTAATGAATTCATATAAATTCAGAGAGAGAGAGAGAGAATAAATCCTACAGCCTGGAGTTCTCAGGTTTCCTACAGAAACAATGGAGAGGTCAGGAAGTCCGTGTTGGAATTCTAACTCTGGCCATACCCCTGGCTTTTTAGTGGCCTGTGTTGCCCGTATGGTGGGAATGGACAGCTCCATGAAGCCCAGGAAACCTCTACATCGCAAATGGAAGGACATGAATATACACGGTGAGTAAATGAACACTTTAAGTGCTTGTAGAAGAATAATGTCATTCTCGGTAATGGAGATGTTGGGAACTGAGGAAAAAAGGGTGGCAATTTTGCCATGAACAATTCCAATTTAGGATGGGTTTTTTTTTGAGCAATAACACTGGGCTCTTCCTGTGGTTAAGAGACAGACTCAATTAGGAATGTACCCTGTGGGCATTCTGTGCAGTTGCCATCCAAGGGACAAACCATACTCAAGCAGCACAGAAAGGACTGCTGTCGTGCATCGAGCTTACAGCTCAGCTCACCAGCCCAGTAAAAGCTTCATAAGGAGCAGCATCTAAAACACAGGCAGATTCCATGAACAGTTGGGTCAGACACATAAAAATGTATTCATCTTTGTAGCTATTCATACCGTGTAGAGTTGGAAGGAAGAGCAGTGTTCGTTTTGAAGCTTTCACTTTCCAGGTCCGTTCCTTGCTGACCACGGTGGCCTCCTAATATGCTCCCTCTTTTGCTCTCTCCAAATTCTCGAAGCTAGATTCTTCCTGCTGCTAGATTAAGCCCTAAAATATAACTGTGACTATGCCTCCCTCCACCCCGTTCAAACACCTTGCACAGTTCCCAGCCCTGCCCGACAGAGTCTAATTCCTTATCTCTGTTTCCCATCTTATTTTCTACTATTATCTCAGTCTGAAGCTCTGAAAACTGAATCGCCCAGCACATCCTGTACTTATCGCCAAGTGTCGATCTCCGCCATGACCAGCCCCTCTCCGAAGTTGAATGCTCTTCCCCTATCTTCCCCAGCCCCATTGCAACGGTTCTAGAAACATGCTCCTGAATTCTCTGATATCTCTTCTTTTGAGAGATGGGACATAATTGCCCTCCTCTTGAATGTGGGATGGGCTTAGCGGCTCCCTTCTAATGAACAGAATGAAGTAGAAGTGAAGACAATGCACTCAAACCCAGAAGCTGCCTCCTCTGTATTATTTGTGTGCTTGTGGTCATTCTCTCTCTTTCTCTCTCACTGCTGGCTCTGGGAAAAGCCAGCTGCCAAGTCATGAGGACACTCAGGCAAGCCTGTGGAGAGGCCCACATGGTTAGCCATGGAGCCCTCTTGGCAACAGCCAGCAAAGAACTGAGGCCTCCTTCCAGGAGCCACGAGAGCCAGCCATTTGGAAGCAGATCCTCCAGCCCCCTTCAGGCCTTCAGATGAGCACTGGCCAAAATCTTGACTGCAACCTCGTGAGAGTCCTGGGTAGAATCCCCGGCCAAGCTGTTCCCAAGTTCCTGCCCTATGGAAACTGCAAAATAATAATTCTTTGCTGTTTTGAGCCACTGTGCTGGGGAGTGATTTGTTATGCAGCAATAGATAACTAACAATAATAATAACTAGCTAATAAGTAGCTATTACATAAACTCACTCATTTTCAAATGTCTAACTTCTAAGTACGATTTAACTCTCAGATTAAATGTCTCCTCCCCCATGGATCACTCCTAACTCACCTGGATAGAAATAGTGTCTCCAATCACATAGGTTAATCTGTAGCTCTCTTGTGGAGTTTCATCTCTCTATTATAGTGGCATGTATGACCTGCAAAATGTTCTCACTTATTGGAAGTTAAGCTCCTTCAGGAAGTGGTCCCAAATGTACCCTCTTACTGTCTCATCAGAGGAGCTAGGTGCATTTTTTTTAATGTGCTAAACATTTGTCCAGAGAATGAGCACCCATATTTCAAATTAAGTTTCTTTCCTTGATTGAAATTCTATTTGTGTTTATTGTTATGATATTAGTTAAAAGTTCTATGTGACTGGCTTGGCATGGTGGCTCACGCCTGTAATCCCAGCACTTTGGGAGGCCGAGGAGGGCAGATCATGAGGTCAGGAGTTCAAGACCAGCCTGGCCAGCATGGTGAAACCCTGTCTCTACTAAAACTGTAAAAAATTAGCAGGACTTAGTGGCATGTGCTTATAGGTCCAGCTACTTTGGAGGCTGAGGCAGGAGAATTGCTTGAACCTGGTAGGCAGAGTTGCAGTGAGCTGAGATCACGGCACTGCATGCCAGTCTGGGCAACAGAGAAAGACTCCATCTAAAAAAAAAAAAAAAACTTCTTTGTGACTGCAAAAGCAAAAGACTATATAAAAAGTGTCTCATTCCTTCATAACCTTCACGAAAGGGGAAAACTGTCCAAGGTATAATAATTAATGTATCCAATTTACCAAGCTGATTAGGTAAGAGGAATTAAAACATGATCATTTTGGTGTTGGTCCTTGTAAAAAGCTGATACAGAATTGAAAGTAGAGGCATGGAAATCAAGAGAGGACTAGTTCCTAAGCAGATAACAAAGTCCTTGACAAATTTTCTCCCACCTGAAGACAGAAACTTTTCTTTTTCTCATTGTCTGTGAGCTGACATCATCCCCTAGACCATTTTCACTCTCCTTAGTGGAGCCTTCTCGAATTTGCTTTGTACAATATTAACGAAGCATCATCAACAACACATGAAAAGTGAATGTGTATTTTTGATTATTTGTATCTAAAGCCCAGGCCTCCCATTTCCTCTGAGTAATGGAAAATGTGAAAGTGGATTATGAATTGAGCATGAAATGTTCAGAGCATTTTGGCTTTTAAAAATGAAAGCAAAAAAATCACTACGCTTTGCTGGAGATCCCCAGACATAATTGTGTAAAGGGAAGGATCCTTCCTGCCAGCCCTTATCTTTGCCACTGGTGAAAGGAAAGGCTGTCAAAGCCCTTCTCACTGCTGCCTTTGACGTATCTCTAGAACGTCTATTATCAATCAGTGTTCGGTACCCAGTGGAGCTCAGATTCAGGCAGGAAGAGCCCAAGTAGACAAATCGTACCCACCTCTTATGCTATCAGATCTGATCCTTGATCGGAAGCAACCATCATAAACCTATTGAGACATTTTGTACAGAGATAATTGTTTTCATAGTAAATCAGTATCCATTTACAGATTATTATATACTGTAAAACTTTTATTTATGTGTGGCCGATTACGCATTCTTAACACATAAGACAGAAAATCAGCTGGCTCCCTTCCCTTTCCTAAGCAACCAAGACAACAGAAAAACGCTGAGTTCCTGAGTTCCAGTCACTCCCAGCTGGCTTTCCAATGTTAAGGTAATGTCGTTCTGGTCACAATTTTAATAAAGTAAAAAAAGAAGTATCATAGTCTTCTGTTTCCAAAGTCATCCCTAGAATTTCAACTGGTACTGTTCCATTCTCTGCTCCCAAAATGGGGATAACATTTTTAAAGACTGGAAACCCTTTGAGGAATGGTATTCAGACTGTCAGGCATTTGATTATAGAGCTCTTCTGCATTATTTTCTACACTAGATAAATGAAATAAAGATTTAGGCAATAATTCAAAGAATTTAATCAATGTTAGCCATCAACATAGGTCATTTGAGAGAGTATAATTTTAGTCTTTGGTGATAAAAGTTTTCAGCCTGGATTTTCTAGATAAACAACTCTATATTTCTCTTTGTCAGCGTGAATAAAGCTTTAGGGGGAATAGGGAGAAACTTTACCTTTTTTTATGAGACATACCTGCCATTCAAATTGCCGCTCTTAATGACATCTTGTATCCAAACCAAACTAATGAACTGTAATGCAGTGTTGTCATGAATTTTGTTATGAGTAGTGAAACGAGGCTCCCCGCTCACCTGACATCTTGGTTAGTTTGATCAGCTTCACCCCAAGTCCTGCTGAATTTAAACTGGCAGAAGAAGGTCATCAACAGCACAGATATAGATTGAAGCAACGCCTACCCTAACACAACTTCCCTAAAATGGAAGTGTGGCAAACAAGGACAACAGAAAAGCAACCACACAAGTCAAGAGACAGAAAACGAGGCAGAGGAAATCCATAAGCACTCAATGAGGATATTCGACAATCCGTGGTTGTCTAGAAAACACTGTAAGAAACCACATCTAATATATGGGGGAAGATACTGACCAGCCGTGATTCTGTAAGGCTGGTGTTAAAAAAATAATAAAGCAAAACAGCCTTTTCAGTGAACAATTAAAGATAAAACTAAACTATTTTCAGTATAAAAAATATCCAGCTGTCACATTGGTCTTCTGATCCCTTCTACAGACATGACAATCACTACTGAGAAGGTGACTGGGCATCCTGGCTGCCGAGGAGAGGGCTGGCTTGTGCCTGCCGTCCTGCATCAATAACGGTGTCACCTGCCACTCACAGAAATGTTCCAGTTTGGACAACCAATTGTATGGTCTCCGTAATTTTCAGTGTATTACTATTTAGAGGGAAAGAACGATGACATAATAAATACATGTATAACCTTAAAGAAAACCCTCTGTCTACTTCCTTCATTCTGATATTCCTCAGTCTTGGTGAGAGTAACCTGTAAGTGTAGTATTATCAGCAACATTCAATTCGACCCTTCTAATCCAGCTGAGAGAGAGTCTCTATCTATCTATCTCTCTCTCTCTCTCTATCTCTCTCTATCTATCTATCCCTCTCTCCACACATGCCACAATTTCTTTCTGGTGCTGCCTTTACATATTTGCCCAAACCATCCCCCAAACAAGAATCGGCTCTTGCTTGCCAGGGTACTTTATCCAATACCAAGACCAAGACTCACTTTCTCTTACATATCCCACTTCATTCTGCCTCACTGGGCACAGATCCTAGAGATAAAAGTGTATTCTTTAATGTATATTATATTTATTTGCTCAGGCATAGCTATTAATATGAATTGGATGGAATATAGATACAAAGTGACAGAATCTACTGCCCAAGTTTGGGTGCATGTGCGGAAATGCTGGCTGCTGACCAGGAGCTCCACTGCCCTCTGACTAGAGAAGCCTGGAGACACCTCCCCCGGGGGACTCACAGTACCCCACTCTTCTGCTTCAAGGGCACTGTTCCAGGTACCATTCAGCAACAAAGAAAAATTGTTGGCCTCATTTTTCTCATTTATTTTTAGTTTCTCTTATTTTCTGTAAACTTTTGTAAGCCTTTTTCAATCCTTCTGCCACTAGGTGTGAAGTACGTGAATATCAAGCATGGCTCTTGCCTACATAGATCATAAAATTTAGAAGACTCAAGAAAACAAGAATCATATAGTCGTAGTACAAAATATGATGTAGTAAGTACCATGAAGTAGCTATGAAGTGTGTTAGGGTTTTGAAAAAGAAAGAAACCACTTCCATTAAGGCAGGTATAAAACAAAAGAACAATGAATAGGATTAAAATTGTGTCGTCTTGAGCTTACATAATAAGGTTACGTACATGGTAGACATGCTGACGGGGAGGGACAGGCAGTCCAGGTGGGAACGGCATGAATAAAATTATGGGGATTAGAAAATAGAGAGCACAACTGAAATAAAATAGTCATTCTAACCAGCAGAATGACTATTTAGGAGTAAGACACAGACTATCAAAAAGGGTGGATTTCTTATTTGCCTAATGTAGCCGGGAGATCAAGTTAAGAAAGAAAAATGTATATCTATATCTTCACAGCATTTTTGTGTATGTGAGTATACCTATGAGTTTATTGAAAAGGTACATGATTATTAAATACTTATTTACAAAATGCACAGATTAAATAGCCTCCTACTACGTACATTTATATAATGGCTGCTTTCTGTTCAGATAAAGAGGAAATCGGCCAGGAGCTCCAAAGAGACCTACTCTATCAAAGATCCAAATTCCACGTGTGAGAACCAGGAAATGAGAGAGTCTCAGATGCACACTCCTGTAAAATTTTATAAGTGCATGTTTGGCAGCTCTGATCTGAGGCTCACGCTGCCCAACGCAGATCAAGCTGCATTTGCAAATCCAGTGCTGGAGGGTAGAGGAGTTTGGGAGATGCAATTACTGGGTTGCAGCGGAGACAATGGTGTCTCCTGCATTCGGTGACAGAGTCTCACTTTTCCCCACTGTAAGTCTCAGTCAGTTTGATTGATGCACAGAACTGTTCCTCTCCCTCCTCCTTGGGGAGGGAAGGGAAGATGAAGTGCAATATTGCAGAGAGAAAAGTGGTTTTATACACATCATCTTAATTCTCAGTGATGGAGAAAGAAGAAAAAGAACAAGAATTCTAAGTAGCAGAGAAAGGTTCAAGGTTAATTTGATTGGCAATATATGAAATGCCACTTACCTCAGGCCATTTCAAATTGCCCCTCCTCTCCACAGTGAATGAAATGATTCTTTCCAAAGACAGGGGGATCAACTGATAATGGCTGCCATTACATATTCATATACCACTTTGCATTCCGTAGCTTACTTGGCAGGAATTCTTACAAGTCTCGGTTCGCAGATGCCCTGCCAGGGAGGTGAGGCTGGAATGCAGTGAGTTCTCACAGGCACTTTTCAGTGGACAGAAGGACAGGGATGGGACAGTATGTAGGGGTCGCCGGGAAGAGACCTCGCCTGGGCCGCACGGGTGGTCTGTGCCTCCACTTTGCCTTCAGTGACCACCCCATTCAGTCCAGGCTAGGGGGGCTCGCTTTCCAAAGACAGGGTAGTTTATGTAAGAACATGCTTTGTAACCGATAGTCTTAACAACAAGTACTTCTCAGTGCTAATGTGAGGCTGAAAAAAATTATTGTGGGCTTTAAAAAAAAAATGTGGTACCATTGCAAAGAAGATGAGGAAAAGAATATAAAAATAATAATATTGTGGAATAATTGTCTTTCTGCATTAAAGAAGATTTCTTCATCCTAGAGAAAGTAAGGAGAGGTTTTTATTTTGAGGAATTTAAAAAAAAAGAAAGAAAGGAGAAATTATGAGTTTTAAGAGTTGAGTTTCTGAGTGGTGATGCAAGCCACTCCCACCTCCTGGAGCATAATCCTAAGGAGATTAGGGTAAAATCAATTCAACTAATACGCGTTCTCTGTCTAACACACACAAGGAAAAAGGCTGGCAAGTTTTATTCCCATACAAGACAGTTTAGGCCACAAAACCAAAGACACAGCCAGAGACAGGGTTCCTAAATACAGCTGGAGAGAAGTTGGAAAGAAAATGTGGACGGCTGAGTATATGTTCATTGTCCCTTGGAAAAAGAACATAAAGCCGGAGGGATCATTAGCTTCACGTTTCTCTCTCTCTCTCTCTCTCTCTATCTGCCCCCCTCCCCCAGTTATTTCGTGACATGGCCAATTGCTGAATTGCTATTCATTATTAACTCTCTTCCTTCAAGGTCAGCGATTGCCCTGAGCGTGATGACACTGCTCAAGGTAATACACAATTCAGATAAACCTTGAAATGTTGACCCATCATAAGTTCAGTGTAATTAAAAGGTGTGCCTATGCCCAGGCCAACTGTTTGAAACCTAATGTCTCTGTGCTTACTCAGAACGTCTGTCTGTGGATTTTCTTCATAGGCAATTTTTATAAAGCACTAAAATTCTACATGAAATTAATGACGGCCAATTAGCTTGAGTTAATTTTTTAAATTAACTCAGTAAATTAACTCTGATTTAAATTTAGGAACAAAGAGGCTTTTTTTTTTTTTATTTACAGCCAAAGAACATAAAGTAAATTCAAATACTTTAGGATCAAACTACTGCCCTGTTCGTGGAGTCGGGGTTTGACATGCGGCGGTGGGTTTTGAAGAATGGTTCCTTAGAGTTATTCTGACCACAACTGTTTTCAGTGCTATTGATTTTTATTACTAATGGGATTGGTTCTCCTCAACATACAACGTAGAGAGAAAACATGATAGCGAGAGAGTGGGGGACAGAGAGAAAGACATTTCCACGGAAACTGCTCTAGAGCAGTCTTGCCACTCTCCTCTGAACATCACTCCAGGATGCCAGGATGCCAGGATGCATGCTGGCAATTTACGTCTCACAGGGCACTCAAGGGCATCGTTTCGGAGACAAGAAGCAAAACTCTTACTCTAAGAGAACAGTTGATTCCTTCAAGTTCAGCAGTAAACCAAACTGAAATGGCTGAATGTCAACAAGGAAACATGCTTAAGAACCGGGAATATGTCTGGGTAAACTAAATTCATTTCAGTAAGCACATGTCTAGGGGTTTATTCTTTAAAATAATCAGAGTACCTAAAATACCTATGTCACCCTGAATGGTGAAATGACCAAATAGATCGATGTTATGAAAGAAAAACTTGCCCAAAAATGTGGAACCAACCTATGTGCGCATCGAATGATGCGTATATAAAGAAAATGTGGTGTATATACGTCACGGAATACTACTCGGCCTTTAAAAGGAACAAATAGTGTCTTCTGCAGCAACTCAGATGGAGCTGGAGGCCATTATTCTAAGTGAAATAACGCAAGAATGGAAAACCCAAACCCATGTGTTCTCAGCTTGTTCTCACAAGAGGGAGCTACGCTGTGAGTATGCAGAGACAAACAGAGTGATATTATGGACTTCAGAGACTCAGAGAGGGCGGGAGGAGGGCTAGGGACGAAAACTACACATTAGGTACAACGTGCACTACTCAGGTTATGAGAGCACTAAAATCTCAGATTTCGCTGTTATATAATTCATCCATATAACAAAAAAAAAAACCCGCATGTACCCCAAAAGATATTGAAATAAAACAACAAAAAGAAAAAAAAGAAAGGCTTGCCCAGGCTGTGACTGTGATGGTCTGCAACTATTTCCATCAGAGCTTGGGGACAGTGAAGGACTCAGTTATCACATCATTCCATAATCTCCTATGCATGAGCTCAATTACAACTACATTGTAGCCTTCCTGGCTATTCTCCACACTTTAAAATACTGCCACCCGTCAACAAAATGGAGATTCTAATACATACCTTCCAGGATTGCTGTGAGGATTACATGAACGTGAAGCCTAGTGCCAGGGCTGGCAGGCAGTAAACTCTCAAAGAATGAATGTTGTTATTACTGTCACATTTGTCATTTTTTACTCTTTAGTACTTAGCAGTGAATTGATTTTATTGATAAAGATGTATATTTGGCCACAATCTTTTTCTTCCATGCATCCAAAGAGTACCAAAATGGATTATTTGGCAAAAAAATAAATAAACAAAGCTTTTATTTTATTTGTTTATTTTATTTATTTTGAGATGAAGTCTCACTCTGTCTCCCAGGCTGGAGTGCAGTGGCACAATCTCCACTCACTGCAACCTCCACACCTTCTGGGTTCAGGCAATTCTCCTGCCTCAGCCTCCCGAGTAGCTGGGATTACAGGAGACTACCACCATGCCCAGCTAATTTTTGTATTTTTAGTAGAGACGGGTTTTCACCACGTTGGCCAGGCTGGTCTTGAACTCCTGATCTCAGGTGATCCGCCCACCTTGGCCTCCCAAAGTGCTGGGATTACCGGCATAAGCCACCGCACCCGGCCCAAATAAAGCTTTTAATTCAGCGAATCTAAATAAGATCTCTCTCAAAGAGTATGTGTTGAATGCCTCCTCCAGTCCAGGCACCATGCTAGGTTGAAAGACTAAAATCCCAGGTTATCCGAGACAGCATCAGCTGATGCAAGTGTATCTGTGGCAACAGAAGGACGAATACTGAGTGATTCGTTATGTGAGGAATCTAAAGTAGTCAAACTCATAGAAACAGGAAGTAAAATGGCAGTTGCCAGAAACTACAGGGAAGGGAAATGGAGAGTTACTGTTCCGTAAGTATGAAGTTCCAGCAGGTATAAAGGTGAACACCTGCCGCTCAGCAAGGATGAAGACGTGTAAATTCTAGAGATCTGCTGTGCAACATTGTACCTGTGTGGCAAGAGGGCTCATCGCATGTTAAATGTTCTTTCTCACCATGATGAAATAAGCAAAGTGTTCTTAAAGATGATCTGCGGCTAAGGATGTTCTGACATCCTCGGCAGTGTCAACCCACAGCTTCAGCGGCCCTGCCAGTCCAACTTCTAGACAAAAGTGGGCTATTTGGCAAAAAGAAAAAAAATAGCAAATAAATGAAGCTTTCAATTTAGCAAGCCTAAGAAGGTCTCTCTCCAAAGGATACAGGTGTACTCAAAGTAAATGTAGGCCAAACAGAAATGTAAGAAGTCAATCAGGGAGAACCTACCAGCAGCTGAAAGTCAAGAAGATAAAAATATAAACTCCTAATGGAAAGAGAGCCTCAGGCAACAGTAAGTCATTTGGACTGATGGTTATTCTATTGCCAAAGATAAAAGCATGGTCTTACAGCCCCGTTTCCTCAGAGAGGCCCAGATCTACTTACTTTTTCACCCATGCTGCTCCCCTTGTCTTGCAAGGCATGTTTGGCTCAAATATATACACATAAGCAAGCTTGCCAAGACCTTCGAGTACACATGGATTTTCTAAATGATAACCCGGTGCCAGTATTAGCTTTAACTAACACATGAACCCTTTAGGAAAAGTCACGCATGACTAGCTCATGTGGTCTTTAAAACTGACAGTTCATTGTCTGCCTCTTTTTGACATCATTCCCTAAAGCAGCCCAATTTAATTCACGACAAAAACTTGCTATGTGCCATACCAGATTCTTCGTATAATTATTCATAACATTTTACGATAATTTGTGTGGCTCTATGACTGCACTAGCCTTCTCAACCTCTCACTTTTACATTTTTAACACTGGCACAACTTTTCAATCTATTGAACCACCCATGGCTTCCCACAGCATTGCATTATAAGCATTATAGTTTCCCTCTCCATCTTCTTTGTTTGAATTATCATTGGAGTACATAGCAAACATTTTTAAATTTCATCCTTTGTCTGCATTATTGCTAACTTTTCGTTTAGATCCTGCTTTTGTAAGTACTCAGAAAAAACAATCCCATAGTGCTATCACAGCAGGTGCTATTTATGAAATGCAAACTTTACCAACAATGCAAAAATGAAATTTAATTGTGAGTTGTATGACTTTGTAAGTACCAGGCCAAAAGCTAGGCACTTTACATATGTTATCTCATTTAATCTTTAGGAAAATCTTATGAGACTCCAGTATCATCACACCCATTTTACAGAAGACAAACTGAACTGGAAGACATTAAGCAATCTGACAATCTAAGAGGAGACAAAACTCTGAGTCTATCTGTCTAGATCCCGAACCTAGACTCTTACACATTGCACCAAGTGCAGAAAACATTATGTGCTCTTTTATGCTTGCACTTTTGTTGAAAATACTTTTCAATGTTGAAGTAGCCAAATAAAATCCACATACAATGGAATAAAAGCTTTGGCATTTTTAAGAACCTTTAAACTTTCATTTTTTTTTTCTTTTAATGTACCCCCTTGCTATTACCAGGTTTATTCAGTCACAGTTAGAATGCAATAAATGGAGTAACAACACAAACAATCCTGAAATAGCACTCATCGCCTGGCAAACACCCACAGGAAAATAGCAACGCGGAAGCAAAGTCTGAAGGCCCTCCCCTCGGGTGGTTGCGGCCTGCCCAGCACTCTGGCTTCCCAGCAATCAGCCACACACCACAGAACTTTGTGTTTCTGCCCACAGTGAACATTTCCATGTCTAAAATGTTATTAAGGGCTCCACAGAACAATCTGTGTAAGGTCATATTTGCATAAGTCAAGTGTTCCACAGTCTGTACAGTGTCTTTACCTAATGCAGGATTAAATCGCCATGGTGGGCTCTAATTAACCCACCAGATTGCCCTAAATACCAGCCAGCATTCACTTAAAGTAGAGTGGCTGGAATATGGAAGCAGCAAGGCAGGGACCTGCAGTCAAGCTCTGCAGTACTCAAAGCCACCAAAGCTCAGAAACCGTTCAAGGGAGAGACTCTGTTACTCACCCATGTCCTTTTACGTAGTAAGTTAGTACAAGCTGGGAAAAGTCAGTGGGTGTATTGGTGACCATCGAGGGGACTTCAAAGGACCATGCATGGCAATATCACCAGATTGTCATCAGTGCAGAAGCTCTTTAGTCCCAGGGCTTCCAAACTGGATTTCCAGAAGTCCTGATTTCCTGCCTCAAGACAGCTTTAGGAGTGAGAGGGAAAGGCCAGTTAGCATGGCCACAGGTGTTCAATCTTTCCTTCAGTCAGTGTGGCTCCCCGTGCTTCTGTCAGGCATGCTGGAATTTCTTGCCTCGTTTGATTGGAAGGAGTATCTGATGCTAATGATGAAGTCAGATGCCACTAATTCAGAACAACTTCTACCACTTACTTACATAAGGATGATAAGAATGCAAGGCTCAGAATCTTACCCAATGAGTCAAGGCTGGAAAGTGGCAAACCTAGACTGGAACCCAAGTATTGGGATTTGGGGTCCAGTGTCCAACAAGCACACTTGGAGCCTTCGTCCAGCTTTTTTTTTTTTTTTTTTTGCTTCTTTTTACTCCTGCTCTGGAAGTCTATTGTTATTTTTCCGATTAGGTAAATGCATACGTGTAATAAGGTGAACAGGTGATTCTTCCATCAAATCTTTAAAAGCGGGCAGACCTAGGAACTGTATAAGGCACATGGTCTTGGGAGCAGGGGTGCCTTTGGTGAATTATATCTGCTTCCAAATCCCGTACAGATATGACCTGAACATGTGCACATGAATCTTTCTAACTTAATTCCCTCAGTGATTGTCCTGTCTGTGCGCTACGACTTGCCAAGCATCTGTACATATGTTGTCTTGATGTAAAAACCAGCCCTTCTGGAAAAGGCTAAGGAAACATCTTTTGGGAATGCAGCATTTCATCGTTAGGGCTTTACAGATCACCCAGACCAACTTGTAGATGAACCTGTAGTTGATCTACTAGTGAGAAAACTGACACACACAAATGTTCATTGATATCTTAAGGTCATTAATATCCAAGCCAAGACTAAAGACAGGATCTACTAATTCCCGCACAAGCTCCTGTCCCACTGCACAACCCAGTTGTGTGTGGTCAAGGTTTTAATGGGTCTCGATGTTCTTTCAGATGGTGGCCCCACTCAGAGCTGCATACATGACCTCACGTATGAATACTTGGCAGCTAAAAGGAAAGTTATTTGGTCAGTTGCTTATTTCCAAGTATCTCTAAGGACATTTGCTGTACACTCACATGCATCCTCCTGCTTTCCTTCATGGTACTTAGCACAATTTTGTCTTATTTACTTTATTTAAGTGCATTTATTTGTATAATGCATTTACTTACTTGTTTGTTTAGTTCCTTTCTCCACGAAAATATAAATTTCATGATGACAGCGGCTAGTTTTCCATCTTGTCTAACACTGTTATTTCCAGACCCAAACACATCGTCTAGAACATAGGCCAAGTTGAATGAACGAGCAAATGGGAAATTAAATGAATGAATGAATGAATGAATGAATGAGTGAATCTTACTATTCTAAAAATATTTATATTACTATGCTCGTTACATAGTATTTAAATCCTGCCTTCACATTTTTGTCTCCCTTAGTAAACTATAAGTTTCTTGAAAATATCTGAGCTTTGTAGTGTTGGCAATACCCAGTTATCCCTTATTTATACAAAGAAGGAAATTGATAAATACTTGCCCATAAATTTATTTATTCAATCATTAATTAAATCCTGGACATATAATAGGCACTCAAAAATATGGACTTCTTGATTAATTGATTGATTTGTTGGTTGATTGATGATTGCTTGATAAAGCTCCAAGAAAATCAAACACTTTCAGGGTGATATTTTTAGGGAATTATCAACCATCACAAAAACCTAATGGTTTTGTAAGAATTTTTAAAATGTCTATTTGAGGACTCAAAGAAGGGAACAAAAGACACCAGGGCCTGCTTAAGGGTAGAAGGTGGGAGGAGGGTGAGGATTGAGAAACTACCTATTAGCCATTATGCTGATTACCTGGGTGACAAAATTATCTGTTCACCAAACCCCAGCCACATGCAATTTACTCATGTAAAAAACCTGTACATATACCCCTTTAACCTAAAAGTTGGAAAGAAAAAGATGCATATCTATTAAAATGTAATTCCTCTAAATTTAATTTTTTAGCCTCTTTTTTTCTCCACTAGTTACATCAAAAATATAACTACTTTGCAGAATATGTTTTCCCTTTTGTTCAGAACACTGCAAAGGGAAGCTGTTTGGGAGAAGGTGAAGGCAGGGTTCCTCTCTATACGTCACTTCAAGTTCACTGATTCATAACTTCGAAAACCAAAAAGGCGGCAAAGTTCAGGGTAACCACTTATGACTGTGAGCATCACGGCGTGTAATAGTCACAGAGCTACTGTTTATAGGATTTGAGAAGGTCACTCGGAGTATGGCTCACGGCTAAGTTTCTAAGTGTATCATGGATAATGCCTTGCATTTCTCTGTACCTTTTAAAAATATCTTTGCAAAGCAGGTGACAGCTGTGGAAAATAGAATACACACACACACACACACATCCATCTTTTCCACTCACATTTTGGCTTACTTTTAAAATTCTACAAGATCTAGTCTACAAAATGGAAACATAACAGAGGCACTTTCTCAACCGATATCGAGACATAAAAAAGCAACAGGAGTTAGTCTTTGCTCTCTCAGCCATATTGCAGGTAGAATGAAAACAACGTGTTCTATTTGGCAATTGGTGCGCACGTGTTCTCAATCTGCTGTTAACCTCGTGCTCAGAGGAAAGACGTTTATGTGTAATTGAACTCTATCACTGATTTCAAACATTTCATTTCATGTAACCCTTTTATTCTCTTCCTTCATCATACACCATGCTAAAATAATATTTAAGCTGCTTGCTAAAATGATATTTAAGCTGCTTTCTGTTGCTGCCTCTGCCCTTCTGTTGGTAAAGGAGTTAAAAAGCCATGAGGTGGACACCATGGCATGGTATAACAAAGGTAAAGCTTTGAGATTCTGTATATTTGGGGTCCCAGCAGGAGCCTAGGCTGGTAGTCACAAATACCTAGGCATGTCCAGTAAATTAGCAAAGTGAGCCCATCAGAAGCACATCTGGAAGGGATGCGAAGGAACTGCCTCTTAGAGACGCCATCAAAAGAAAGAGAAAGGCAGAATGAGCATGACCTGGGAGGAAAGCCTCAGTGTCTCAGTGTTGGGAGATTCTGAACACAAAGCGTTCTATTATTCGGCTTTGTCTCCCAATTTAGCCCATGGTAAACACCTGACAGAAGCCTGTAGAAAGAGAGGGAAATGATGTGTGAGGGAGTGGGGAGGGGAACCAGAAAAACTTTCACTAAAAACACACAGCTTAGGAAAATACCCCTTTTCTTCCTATCAATATTAAATAATAGTAATTAATAATAATAAAGATGGAGGAAGAGGGAGGCAGAAGAGAGCAGTGCCTTCCTCTGCTCCACGATAAACTATCGTGCACAGCCCATCATCCCGGGCTCCAGTGCTTCACATATTACCAGAGATGGGAACAATCTGTGGACACAGCCAAACCCAGAGTCTGCCTTGTTAAAGCTGGGGGATTGTCTTCACATCCAGCAGTGATAGACACTATTGTAAGCACACCTGCGGAATTTCTAAGTAAAGTCCTCTGTGAGCATCCTGGGACAGGTGAAATTTGGACTGTTCCTGTTAAAGTGCCCCATTTGTGTACCTACAGCCCAAGGAGGCCTGAGGAACCTCAAGAGATTACATATATAGATAGATAGATGCCTTTATAATACGTAAAAAAAAATTTCTTTTTTTTTAGAAAGAAAGAGAAAGAGAAAAGGGGGAGAGAGAACAGGAGTCTTGCTCTATGGCCCAGGCTGGAATGCAATCTAAAAGTAGGTATTAAAAACCACTTTTATGCTGATAATTGTGCTTAACAGCAGAGACAGGAAGGAATAAGGAAAGAAAATAACAAACAGCCAACCATTATTTCATTTAAATCTGTGAAATGCTGTGCAAATGCTGAAGAGTGATTTGCTTCCATTTATGTGGTCACTTTCAAAATAGGTGTAATGTGATACTAAAAAAAAATGTGTGTTCTGTGGACCTGGGGTGAAGAATTCTATAAATATTCACTGAGTTTACTTGTTCCAGGTCTGAGTTCAAATCATAAATGTCCCTGTTAATGTTCTATCTCGTCGAGCTGCCAAATATTAACAATGTGGTGTCAAAGTCTCCCGCTATTATTGTGTGGGAGTCCAGGTCTCTTTATAAGTCATTGAAAACCTGTCTTATGTATCTGGGTGCCCCTATATTGGGTACATATATATTTGTGATCATTGACTCCTATTGTTGCATTGATCCTTTTATCATTATGTAATGTTCTTGTTTCTTTTAGTCTTTGTTACTATTGTAGTCTATTTTGTCAGAGATGAAAGTTACAACTCCTGGTTTTTTTTTTCCTCTCCATTTGATTGGTGAGTCTTCCTCCAACCTTTTGTTTTGAGTCTTTCTGTGTCCTTGCTTATGAGATGGATCTGGATATAGAGTGCTGATGTGTTTTGACTTTTTATTCAGTTTGCGTGTCTGTGTCTTTGATTGGTAAGTTTTTGGGATGACTGATACTGGTTGTTCCTTTCTGTGTGTAGTGCTTCTTTCAGAAGCTCTTGTAAAGCAGGTCTGGTGGTGATGAAATCTCTGAGTGCTTGCTTGTTCACAAAAAAATTTATTTTTCCTTCATTTATAAAGCTTAGTTTAGCTGGATATGAGAAACTGGGTTGCAAATTCTTTTCTTTGAGGATATTGAATATTGACCCCCACTCTCTTCTAGTTTGTATGGTTTCTGCTGAGAGATCTGCTGTAAGTCTGATAGGCTTCCCTTTATGGGTAACCTGACATTTCTCTCTAGCTGCCCTTAGAATTTTCTCCTTTATTTCAACCCTGGTGAACCTAACAATTATGTGTCTTGGGGTCACTCTACTTGAAGAATATCTTTGTGGTGTTCTCTGTATTACCTGGAGTATTGTCCCACCTTACTAGGTTAGGAAAGTTTTCCTGAATAATATCCTGAAGAATATTTTCCAGCTTGGATTCATTCTCTTCATGACATTCAGGTACACCTATCAAACGTAAATTAGGTCTTTTCACATAGTCCCATATTTCTTGGAGACTTTGCTCATTCCTTTTTACGTTTTCTTCTCTAATCTTGTCTTCTCATTTCATTAAGTTGGTCTTCGACCTCTAATATCCTTTCTTCTGCTTGATCAACTCAACTTTAAAAACCTGTGCATACTTCTCTGAGTCCTCCTATAGTATTCTTCAGTTCCATTAATTCACTTATACTCCTCTCTAAACTGTCTATTCTCATTAGGATTTCGTCAAACCTTTTTTCAAAGTTCTTAGTTTCTTTACATTGGGCTAGAACATGTTCTTTTAACTCACAGAAGTTTCTTATTATCCACCTTCTGAAACCTAATTCTGTTATTGGAATGCACTCATTCTCCATCAAGCCTTGTTCCTTGTTGATGGGGAACTGCGATCCTCTGTAGAGGGAGAGGCATTCTGATTTTGAGTATCCTCGCCTTTTTACGCTGGTTTCTTCCCATCATTATAAATTTATCCACCTGTCGTCTTTGTAATTACCAACTTTCAAATTAGGTCTCTGAGTGGACATCCAACTTGTTAATTCCCAGCACCGAAATCTGAGCAACCCACTGAGCTGGCTAAAACAGCAGCGTTAAGATTCTTGGTGCTTTTCTGTCCGGGAGTCTCCATTCTGGCTTCTCTCCTGAATCCCTTCTTCAATCAGCTGAATGGGCGACTCTGCCTTCATGGAGCTTCAAACGTCGACCAAAAGGGGACCCAGTCCCGTTTACTCTGCACCGAGCACCGCCACGCCAGCTGCAAGAGTCACGCCGGCAACCCGTGGGGCTCCTCCGCTGGGAATCTCCTGGTCCTTGAGCAACAAAAATTCGTCTGAAAGTGTGGCATCCTCTCGTTCTCTGCACTTTCACTGGGAGCTATAAGCCTGAGCTGCTAGTAATCAGCCATCTTGGATCTCTCTAATACATAAAATTTTTAAGCAACCATCAAATATATGTGAACTGGAATTTATAACCCACATGATCAAGTTCAGATTGCATTTTAACAAAATTTTTTAGTTGTCTGCTTACATATAGCACACTGTGCTAAGTACTGTATGGGATGATAAAGATGTTTTAAACATAGTTCTTTTATACACCAAACACAATATTTCATTGACTATATACTTGCATACATTCATATATAACAACTCCCCTCCAGCTTTAACTTAGATTAGATGATTTAGATTTTCGGCATCTCTAGACAATCAAGTCACTGCCATCAACCGTGTAAATCATTTTAAAATGCCAGAAAGCTGCAAAGCAAATTGTTGTCAAGAAGCTAATGCACTTCACTCTGAAGAAAAAGAAATGGAGTCGCCATTGAGTCAGAGGCCGTGAGCTTAGTATGATGTACAAATTTCAGGTTACTGACCTGAGGTTTAGTTACCTGCATTCTTTTGGTAACCAACAGCATAAGAAGTGACAACTGACAGCAAAGGACAAGATGAAAGAAACAAAACACTACTACAGTCCTGTGTCCTTGATTGACGTGAATGGGCTGAGACACCTCCACAACCCCGAGGGCAGCAAACATCAAAACATGTCAGTTCAATGTCTGATGTTCAGCTAATGTTTGAGTCATCAAAAAGGAGGTAAGCTAGGTTCTGTCTCTTACAGTAACCAAGAAACACGTAGATAAAACACATTTACAATTCCCATAATATTTTTTAATATTGCCAGTAACCATTTGAAGACTAAAACACTGGAACATTCCTCACAGAACTATAGTTTGGAGATCTAGACTATCTGGCCAGAGTTAAACAGTAAGATAGAGATAAAACCAAAATGGGGCTCAGCATGGTGGCATATGCCCATAATCCCAGCTACTCAGGAGGCTAAGGTGGGAGGATCGCTTGAGCCCAGGAGGTAGATGCTAGCCTGAGCAATGTGAGACCCAACCTTAATAAAAATATTCTTTAAAAAAATCATGACACTTTAGGTTCTGATACCTGCCTGTGATAATGAAGAGGAATGAGAGTTTGAGAACTCGATGGAACCTAAACAGTCTTTTCATCTCCAGCCTCACAATTTGCAGGTAAACTCATTGAGATCTAGAGAGATAAGTGACTTGCTCAAGGTCACAATTCAATGATGAGTAGAATTGAGACAAGCATACAGGTTCCTGATCAGCTCTCCTCAAAACCATCAAGGTATCCAAGGACAAGCAAAGTCTAAGAAGCTGTCAGAGATTGCAGGAGGCTAAGGAGTCATGATAACTAAATATAAAGTGATGTTCTGGATGGGATCCAGGAATGGAGAAAGGACATTTGGGGGAAACTGATGAAATCAGAATATAGTATTGAGTTTCATTAAGAATAATGTACCTAAGCTCACTTCTTGCTTATAACAAATGTATCCCAGTGATATAGGATGATTGCAATGGGAAACATTGGATGAGAGACATGAAGGAATTCTCTGTACCATTGTTACAACTTTTCTGTATGTCCAAAGCTATTTTAAAATTAAAAGCTGATTTAAAACAAAAAGTTCTACTTTTAAATTTAAAAAAAAAATTACAGGTTTCAAGGATTCTTCCCATCAAAACATGTTGTCTCTTTTCTAAGATAGCTGAATGGGACTTCCATCCCATAAACTAAAAACTGTCATTGAATCTCTGTTCACAATAGCCATGCTATTAATATTTGACTGCCTTCATCTCAGTAAGAGTAAAGAAATTAGCCAGATAACCCACAATAAGCAAACGTACAGCTTTCAATACCTGCAGCAGGTATTTTAAGCAACTGTTGCCACATACATTTCCATTTGAGAGATATAATGAAGGGAATGTATATCCTACCCTTAACTGCTGGGAACAAAAGCATCAAAGAAAAATGGACACAAGCTTGTGCACATCTACCTTTTCAACTTTTCAAACACGTGTTAAGAACCTACTATGTGTCTGAACTCTGCCTTCACTTCAAGTACGCTAAATCCATAAATGTACATGGCTCAGACTCTCAAAAGGATGACCTCGAGTCTTCTAACAGTGCCTATGAAATTTAATAATTGGGAGACTAACACCAAATCTCATTTATTGCTGCTTTAAATGAAATAGATCACAGTTAATAAAAGCCTGCAAATTAAAGTAACCCAACAGTCTTAACTAGCAATTAAAATGACTCTTTTTTTTCTATAAAAGGTGAAACCGTATGCTGGAACAGATTTTTTGTCATGTATGAGATTAATGAACAGTTTGGCTCAGCAGGGAATAATTCCAGTTCATACTGAAGGATCAGTTTCAGTATCAAAATCTTATTCTCTCAATGTCAGGATCCTTGATACCAATTACCTGAAGACACCTGGGCTCAAGAGCCATCCCTGTGAAAACATGAGCACAAGGTACATGTTCTCCTCATCCCTCCTACATGCCGGAATAGAGAGGGGGGAACTGAGAGTCCAGTATTATCAGGATTGTATTCAAAGCTTCAATTCCAACAAAACCTAAACTGAGTCTCACCCTCCTCACCAGGATTTGTGGGAGTATCCAACCCTGTAACAAACATAGGCAGGAACCAGGAAGCCAACTAGAGAGAAATGCACATGGCCTCATCTAATCCAGATCAGTGTCATAAGAACACGTTGGAAGAAATAAGATTAGTCCCAGGAAGTGCCAGTCATCTTTTAGGAGGGAAAAGGATAGAAGCCCATGAAGCCGGACACAAGGTACACATGATATTAACCCGAGAGCATTCAATACCTTGCAAGCTTAGCTGTTTGGAACACTTTTTCCCAAACTCTTTGACTCGCCTCAGTGTCTTCACTGGAGTAGGTGGAAAGGGAGTGAATAGAGATACTGGTAGTTCCATGCCTGGTGGGAAAACAGAAAATCATTACTGATATCAGAGGACAAAAAGCAAGGTAGAAAGAAAGATAAATCTATTAGGTAGGTAGGTAGGAAGGTAGGTAGGTAGGTAGGTAGGTAGGTAGGTAGGTAGGTAGGAAGGTAGGTAGGTAGGTAGGTAGGTAGGTAGGTAGGTAGGTAGGCAGATAAGTTGGCAGGTAAGTAGGTAGGTAGGTAGGTAGGTAGATAGGTAGGTAGGTAGATAAGTTGGTAGTTAAGCAGGTAGGTTGGTAGGTAAGTAGGTAGGTAGGTAGGTAGGTAGATAGGAGGTAGGTAGGTAGGCAGATAAGTTGGTAGTTAGGTAGGCAGATAAGTTGGTAGGTAGGTTGGTTGGTAGGTAGGTGGGTAAGTAGTAGGTAGGTAAGTACATGGATGGATGGATGGGTCAATGGATAGATGGATGGATGGATAGATGGACTGACTGACTGATTGACATGGTTTGGATCTGTGTCCCCATCCAAATCTTATGTCGAATTGTAAACTCCAGGGTTGGAGGTAGGGCCTGGTGGAAGGTGATTGGACAATGGAGGCGGATTTCCCCTGAGTGCTGTTCTTGTGATAGTGAGTCGTCATGAGATCTAGTTGTTTAAAAGTGTGTGGAATCTCCCTGCCCCACTTCCTCCTGCTCCTGCCGTGTAAGAAATGCCTGCTTCCCCTTTGCCTTCCACCATGATTGTAAGTTTCCTGAGGCCTCCCCAGAAGCAGATACTGCCATGCTTCCTGCATAACCCACAGAACCTTGAGCTGATTAAACTTCTTTTCTTCTTCTTATAAATTACCCAATCTCAGGTATTTGTTCATAGCAGTGTGAGAACGGATAGAGATAGATAGATAGATAGATAGATAGATAGATAGATAGATAGACAGACAGATAGATGTATATTCTATATTTATATCTCAATTAAACTTATTTTCTTTATAAATTACCCAATCTCATGTATTTCTTCATAGCAGTGTGAGAATGGATAGATAGATAAATAGATAGATAGATAGATAGATAAACAGATAGATGCACTATATTTATATCTAAATGGCAATAGGTATGGCAGGGGCAGATGGATGGACAAGTAAATAATCAAAAGGAAAAAAAAGCAAAGACATACTTTGTAGACAACTTCGTTGCTCCAGTCACCAAAGTTTGAGCTTCCTAAGCATTATGTCATGTAATCCATCTGTGATGGGCATGACTATTTTGCCTATTTTATATATACAGTGTTGACACATTATCAGAGTTAGAGTTAAAACCCTTGGGTTTTCCACTACCCTACATTGTCTCTCATTCAAGGTCACAGTAAAAATTGGAAGACACTGTATTAGAGAATGCAAGCCATACAGACTGTCAGTGCGTAATCACAAACTATGCCCTCAATGCATTTTAACACGTGCATTCCACCGAACACCAGGATAAAAAGGAAGGGAGAGCAAGCAATGCCTCCCCAACCCTTCTCCACTCGATGGTGAGCAGGCAAGAAGCACATTTCTATTCAGTATGGTCTCTCGCCACCTCTATTCTTTGCATCCCCCATAGTTCCCACATCCCCACCTCCCAGGAAGTTTTTTCTCCAACAATTCTCCCACCTTAATGAATGTATAAATTGCCTAGGATTTTAAAAGCAGATTCTGGCTCAGAAGCGATGGAATCTGAGAGATTCCCAGGACCACACTCTGGGTGACTAACCTCTATTTTATACCCTATTTTGGAGAAAAGCAAACCTTGTTAGACATAAAAATATATAGCATAGTTCTCCGGACACCGAGAACATTTAGTACACATTCTAAGCAGAAATGTGATCTGGACATGGGAGACTCGCACTATATGTATATTTGAATAAATCGCATCTGTAAGTCATAGAACACCCCCCGCACCCCGAGCAATTCCTTTCTGAATTACCTAGATACAGTTTTACACTAGTAAAAGCAAGGCCTGCACGGTAAAGAATAGATGCCATCCTGATGGTATTTAAATATATATTTACTTCTTATTCATGATCTTTCACCCATTTAATTTTCTCTGACAGATTATTCGGGTCACTTTTTAAATGAGTTTCAATGTTTCTAGGGCTGCAGCTCATTATAAAAATGTTCACAGCAGATAGAATCTTGCTTCAGCACTGCACTAGTTTAGAAGTGGCAGACACAGAAATCGGTATGCAGATACCGTACCATAAGCATTAATTTAGTATTATGTGGAAGGTTGATTGATTAATAAATACATAAGCCAGGAAGCCTAATTTAACTCTTAATTTCTTTTTTTAAAAATTTCTCAGAGGGAAAAATTAATCTGGAAGTGTTGATTGATTGAGAGCTTTAGCATGATCTAGACAGCAATAGAAAATGACTATGAACCTGGGACTTTGCAAACTGCATCATTTGCAAAATAAACCTGATCAACCAGTTTCATCCCACAGTGATTGATGGTCAGAAAGGAAAGGCTGTACAGACCATGGAGGAGAAGAATACATAATCGTCTGAGGAAGCAGTGCACCCTGCAGAGTAGTTAAAGAAGAGAGAATAAGTAAATATTTTTAGCTTAGGGATGGACATAAATGAAAAAACAACGCACTTGAAATTTTAAAAATTAATGTTTATTAGAGCACTCCGGTAAACAAGCAAATTGGAATTAGTACATTGCACTCTTAAGAATGTGCAGAATATAAATATATCTTAGCTGTTGTGGTCCCACTGTAAAGAACCAGCTTATACTCTTGCTATGATTAAAAGGTCACATTTAAAACCAAATGTTCTGTATCCAGATTTGAATAGTGCTGAATGTTTTTCTAAAAGCAAAGGACAACTTACTCATTGTTCTCTCTGTGAAGAGTAGCAATTAAGCTGAACAGTGCAATTACTTATAAATTAGACCTGTTTTCCTTTCCAGCTCATATGTACACAATGAGCATTAAGGTCAAGTTGCAAGCCCTAATCCTCAGAAAACTGACATCAGAATCATCAATCCTGTTAGTATTTAGGGTGCCCATGAAGGTGACATTTGGAAGGAAGAAAAGAAGGTAACATTGGAGGTCCTGCTGTAATAAGAACTGTTAAAATATTCTACCAGAGATTCTGACTGAAGATTCGTTGCTAACCCTTTGTTTTATTAATCCCATTTTATACATAAAAAGACTCGAGATTAAGGATGTTAAGAAGACTGGCCAGTGCTACAAAAACAACAGCTATTAAGCGGCGGCCCCTCATCGATGTTGGACTGTAGAGCATGATGTTTCTACAGAATGCATGGGAATGACCTGCGGAGCTTATTAAAACAGATTGCTGAGCCCTGCACTCCGAGTTTCTCATCAGGCAGAATATTAGTTTCCTATTGCTGCTGCAACTAATGACTATAAAGTTAGTGGCTTAAAAACACATAAATGCGTTATCTCCCAGATCTGTAAGTCAGAAGTTCAGGTACAGCACAACTCATCTGGATGCTCTACACCGAGCCTCACAAGGAAGAAATTAAGATGTCAGCAGGTCTGTCTGGGTTCCTTTTTTTTTTTTTTTTGAGACAAGGTCTCACTCTGTTGCCCCAGCTGGAGTGCAGTGGCACCATCACAGCTCACTGCAGCCTTAACCCCCTAGGGTCCAGCAATCCTCCCACTTCAGCCTCCCAAGAAGCTGTGAATACAGGTGCATGTCACCATGTCACACTAATTTTTGCATTTTTTTGTAGAATCAAGGTTTTGCAATGTTGCTCATGCTGGTCTTGAACTCCTGGATTCAAGCAATCCTCCCATCTCAGCCTCACAAAATGCTGGGATTACAAGTGTGAACCACCACACCTGGCCTTGTGCTCTACTCTTTATTATTATTCTTTAATAAAGACAAGACCTCCTCACTCTGTTGCCCAGGCTGGAGTACAGCAACACAATCATAGCTCACTGTAACCTTGAACTCCTGGGCTCCAGCAGTCCTCCCACCTCAGCCTCCCTAATAACTGGGACTACAGGTGCACACCCCGAAGCCCAGATAATTTTTGTATTTTTTATAGACATGGGTTTTGCCATGTGCCCGGGCTGGTCTCAAGCTCATGGCTTCAAGCAGTCTTCCCATCTCAGCATCCCAAAGTGCTAGATTACAGGCATGAGCCACTACATCCAGCCAGGCCTGTGTTCCATTCTGAAGGCCCTGAGAGGAACCTGCTTACAAAGTCATTCAGGTCGTTGCCTGAATTCGGTTCCTTGCAGTTATATGACCTGTTTTTGCTGGCTGCTGGTCAACGGCTGGAGGCTGGAAGCCATCTGCATTTTCTCATGCTCTCTCTGTGGCCCATCCAGCAAGCACAGTTCCACTCACACTTTGAATTTTCTTGACACTTCTGCTGCACCTCTCTGACACCAGGCAGGGAATGCTACCCACTTTTAAGGATTTACTGTAATTAGATTGGGCCCATGGAATAGTCAGGAATAGTCCTTCTGTCTTAAAAGTTTAGAAACTTTAATTTTCTGCCAAATTCCTGTTGCATGTGATATCGTCACAGAATCCAGGGATTCAGGAGTGAACATCTTTGAGGAGCCATTCCACCTGTTATAATGATCCTGGGCTGGGACCCAGAAATTTGCCTTTCTAACAAGTTTCTTTTATGTTAGAAGATTATCTATGATGCTGATGTGATGCTTCTGGTCCAGGGATCACCCTTGGAGGATGCCTACAGTAGCTGCTCCTACTTCAAGTGCAGTTCATGGCATCAACGTTGCCTGGGAGCTTGTTCTGCAGGACCTTGAGCCTCCTCTCAGATTTATGGGGGTAAAAAGCTGCAGTTTAACCAGATCCCCAGGTATTGGTGCACATTAAAGTCTGAGAAATATTGCTCTACAACAGTTAGAAACGGATAAGTCATGAGTAAATTATGTTTTATTTATTCTCAGGACCATTTAGAAAGACACAGTTCTTTATTGTTGCTGTTGTTGTTGTTGTTTTGGTTTTTGGAGACAGAGTCTCACTCTTGTTGTCCAGGCTGGAGTGCAATGGCGCGATCTCAGCTCACCACAATCTTCAGCTCCTGGGTTCAAGCAATTCTCCTGACTCAGCCTCCCAAGTGCTGAGATTATAGGCATGCACCACCATGCTGGGCTAATTTTGTATTTTTAGGAGAGACAAGGTTTCTCCATTTTGGTCAGGCTGGTCTCGAACCCACAACCTCAGGTGATCTGCCCACCTCAGCCTCCCATTGTGCTGGGATTACAGGCATGAACCACTGCAACTGGCCTTGACACAGCTCTTTTTTGGTTCAGTTATTGCCCTTTTTTGTTAGAGGGTGGAGGGAGGCATCTTACCTGTGAAGTTGAGAAAAAATTTCTGCACCGTCTCTTCAGCTGGCTTTAATTTACCCAGTCCCACACCCAATTTTAACACAAAAGGGGGCAATCTCCCCACAAACTCAGCCTTGACTATGTTTGGCATCCTCAAACAATCGCAAGCTAGATTTTGTTATTCACTGGGCTTTCTTGACCAGGACATCCTGTCTTTGATCACATCCTAGTTTGATAGAAATAGATTAAAATTGACTCTCAGATGGATTCTGGAAGGAACCACCACCCTGGCCATCCTCCCCGGGCAGAGAGAGAGTGAGTCCAACAGCAGCAGGATACTCTGCCTTGACTTCATCGCTGAGCATATTTCCCCAGACCTGAGAAGAGACTTAGCAGAATCTAAGGGCCCCAGAGGAGAATCAAATATCATTAACCATTTTATTGGGGATGTTATTGGCTTTCTGAGAGTTACCATTAGCGGAAAGTGACTGCAGTTAGAAGATATTGAAGAAGACTGAAGATTGTGTATTTAGCCTATGACTAAACACACAGTGAATTTCTACCTTTGCCTCAAAAATTCCTAAATGGAATTACTGAAACGTAACCATTAAGTATGCAAAGAGTGGGCTATGTTTCAAGATGTAGACATTACCTGTAAATTAACTATCTCAAATTCTCTCACTTTTTTGAATTTAAACTGAGAGAAGGAGAACAAAGAAGTGAAAATGAAAAGAAATTTGGAGTGATCTTAAGAACATAATGAGTACAGTAAAATGCCATCATTAAACGCTATTGGTAAAATACAAACCAACAAACAAACCTCTCTCTCTCTCTCTCTCTCTCTCTCACTCACACACACACACACACACTCACTTTCTCTCTCTCTCTCTCTCACACACACTCACACACACACACACTCACATTCTCTCTCTCTCTCTCTGTCTCTTATACTCACTCTATTCATTCCTTTTTAGCACACAGAGCTCCCTCCAGATGATAAGGTCCACAGTGCCTGCTGAAATCAGCTGGTAATTTCTGAAGAAGCACAAAGATTCACGTAAACCGTCTTGTTCCCAACACGTTCTTCCTATCCTTGCACTTGTTCCTTGATCAGATGATGAGACAGTCCTCTAAAACATTCAATAATAAAAGTCTTGTCATATATAGACAGGGGATGTCAGCAGCCCAAAAATGTTTAATGAGGTACCTGAAAATACAGCCAGATTACACCAGCAGAGTCAATAAGGCAACAGCCATTCAGGCAGGACATGGGACAAAAGCCAGAGGGGATAACTGCCCCCAAAACTTAAAGGGAAATATACTTCCCACTTCCCTGATCAATGCTATTCTCCCACCTCCATTTCTGGAAACTATTTACTTCAAGAAACACTTACCAAAAAGAACTCACCATTTCCTAAAATCTGAAGGTTTTTTGTCTTCTAAAACCACCTGGCAAAACAGCTGAGCTTTCCACTCATCACTGACACACCAGTGTTCTTTTCCGTCTGTGTGTACCGAGGGTGGAGGGAGAAATGGGAAAATGCCAGCTGAAGAGACAGTGCAGAATTCTTTCTCAACTTCACAGGTAAGATGCCTCCCTCCACCCTCTAACAAAAAAGGGCAATAACTGAACCAAAAAAGAGCTGTGTCAAGGCCTGGTGCAGTGGTTCATTCCTGTAATCCCAGCACAATGGGAGGTCACTGGACGAAATGTAAGATGACCTTTCACTAAATATATAGCTCGTTGGAGAGTAGAAGGGAGGCATGCAGATAATAAACCTAAACTCATTTTTCCCTGTAACTGGGCTCTGCACAATATCTGAATTCCTTTTAATAAACAGTGAGACTGTGGTGCAGCTCTTCTTTAGAGCCTACGAAATATTATTGGCATTTGTTTTGGATATTACTATTCAAAATGCTGCTACTGATTTAGTAAGTCTCTTCAAGGTTATAAAATAATCCCAGAATGAAGGAGAACATAGAGACAAGACAACTGAAAGCAAGATATAATTTCGAATTGGATCATTTTTTTCTCTAGCAGGTGTTACTGGGCCAACAGGTGAGCTTGAGTGGGACCTGAATATCGGATGTTAGTACAGCATCAATGTTAATTTCCCAACTCTGATGGTTGTATTTGGAAATAATGGCATTAAATGATTCAGAAAGAAAAAAGAGGAGGAGGAGGAGGAGGGAAAGGAGGAAAGGAAGAAGAAGTGGTTCTTTGTACTGTCCTTGCAACTTTTCTGAGTTGGCAATTGTTTTAAAAATAAATAAAATTATATAAAAGAAATCAATAAAATAAATCATTCAAATATCAATACTTGTCTTCTTTGGTGATTTCATTCACTTTCAAATCTGCAAAGCCTGCAACTGCTCCATTCATAAAATGGCCTTCTGCATCAAGCACTTACTGCTTCATGACAAATCACCCCAAAACCTGGTGGATTAAAGTAAAATCATCTATTTAGTTCATAATTCTATGGGTCAGAAACATTGAATGGGATCAGCTGTGCAACCCTTCTGGTAGGCTGGGCTGGGCTTACTCATGTGTTTGCAGGGAGCTGCCGGTCCCACTGGGAACCCTTGCTTCTGGGGGTTGCCTGGCTGTCAGCTGAGACCACAGAGGCAACTAGGCTGTGTATCTGTTATCATCTACCCACCGAGGCTTGGTTTGTTCCCCTGGCTGCACAAGGTTCTGAAGGCACATAGGTAGTAAAATCAATGCACATCTTCGACACTGCAGCCTCCACTCTCCTCACAGGTGCTGCTGCCCGACTGCAAAGTAAGCCACATAGACAAGCCCAGGGTCAATGCAGGAAGACCCCATCAAACTGCATCAATAGTGGGGTCATTGCAATCAAGCCACCACATTCCCAAATCTTTATTTCTGACTCTACCTTCTCATCCTTCTTAAACTGTCTTCTAGACATCTCTTCATGGTGTCCTACCTGAATTTCAAATTTCATTAGTATGAAATTCATCACACTAGAGCCAACACACCATAATGAATAGAACGAGACTTCCAATCGGCTCTGAGTTTGAATTCTACTTATTGTGAGATTTTGGTTTAAGCTACTTAAATCTCTGAGAATGGCTTCCTTCTATTTGCAAGAAAAATAATAATAAATATTTGATAGCGGTATTACAGGGATTAAACATGATAGTGTACTGTCAACCCTTAACACACAGCAGGCATTCGATAATTTTTTTTTTTGCTTTTTGTTTTTGAAAAAAGAAAAGAAAGAGAAAAAAGGAGTGAAGGAGAGGAAGAAAGAGGAAGTAAAAGAGGGAGAGAGAATGGGAATATTGCTTTATTCTAAAAATGGGTATTAATAATGGCCGATCAATATTTTGTGTATTTAAAGTGGAGAGCTCTATAAATATTTATTAAGTTTACTTGTTCCAGATCTGAGTTCAAGTCCTGGTTGTCCTCATCAATTTTCTGTCTCGTTGAGTCTAAATCTCTTTATGGGTCTTATGTATCTGGGTGTTAGGATCGTTAGCTCTTATTGTTGCATTGATCCTTTTACCACTATATCTTTGTTGCTTCGAAATCTATTTTATCAGATACGAGAATTGCAACTCCTGCTTTATTTATTTATTTATTTATTTATTTATTTTTGCTCTCCATTTGGTTGGTAAGTCTTTCTCCATCCCTTTGTTTTGAGCCTTTGTGTATCTTTGGATGTGAAATGGGTCTGGATGCAGCATGCCATTAGGTTTTGGTTGTATCTTTTGATTGAGGGATTTAGTCAACTTAAATTTAGGATTACTGCCATTTGATGTTAACTGGCTGTTTTATCCATTCGTTTATATAAACTCTTCTTTATGTTGATGCTCTTTACTTTTTGGTATATTTTTAGAAAGGCTCATACTGGTTGTTTCTTTCTGTGTGTAATGCTTCTTTCAGAAGCTTTTGCAAAGCAGGCCTGGTGGTAATAAAATCTCTGAGTACTTGCTGTTCATAAAAGATTTTATTTTTCCTTCAATTGTGAAGCTTAGTTTGGCAGGATATGAAATTCTGGACTGAAAGTTCTGTTCCTTAAGGATGTTGAATATTGGCCCCCACTCTCTTCTGGCTTGTAGGGTTTCAGCTGAGAGATCTGCTCTAAGTCTAATAGGCTTCCCTTTGTGAGTAACCTGACCTTTCTCTCTGGCTGCCCTTAGTATTTTCTCCTTCATTTCAACCCTGGTGAATCTGACGATTATGTGCCTTGGGGTTGCTCTTCTTGAGGAATATCTCTGTGGTGTTCTCTGTATTACCAGGGGTTGAATATTGTCCTGCTTTGCTAGATTGGGAAAGTTTTCCTGAATAATTTCCTGAAGAATATTTTCCAGCTTGGATTCATTCTCTCCGTCTCATTCAGGTACACCTATCAAACATAAATTAGGTCTTTTCACATAGTCCCATATTTCTTGGAGACTTAGCTGATTTCTTTTTATCCTTTTTTCTCTATTCTTGTCTTCTCATTTTATTTCATTAAGTTGGTCTTCGACCTCTGATATCCTTTATTCTGCTTGATCAATTTTGCTATTCAAACTTGTGCATATTTTGCTAAGTTCTCATGTTGTGTTTTTCAAATCCATTAGTTCATTTATATTCCTCTCTATATTGTCTATTCTTGTTAGCATTTTGTCAAACCTTTTTTCAAAGTTCTTAGTTTCTTTACATTGGGTTAGAACAAGTTCTTTTAACTCCCAGATGTTTCTTATCATCCACCTTCTAAAGTCTACTTCTGTTAATGGAACACAGTCCTTCTCCATCAGCGCTTGCTCCGTTGCTGATGAGGAACTGTAATCCCCTGTAGAGGAAGAAGGGTTCTAATTTTGGGTATTCTCAGCCTTTTTAGGCTGGTTTCTTCCCTTTGTTATAAATTTATCCATCTGTTGTCATTATAATTACTGCCTTTCTAATTAGGTTTCTGAGTGGACGTCCAGTTTATTGATTCCCAGTGCTGGAATCCAAGCAACCCACTGCGCCGGCCAAAACAGCAGCGATAAGACTGATGGTGCTCTTCTGCCTGGGAATCTCTGGTCTGGCTTTCTTCTTGAGTCAGTAATAAGCGGCTCTGCCTTCGCAGAGCTTCAAACATCGGTCAGAAGGGGAACCAGTCCCGTTTACTCTGCACGAAGAGCTGCCGCACTGAGGCACCGGCAAAACAGCTGCACCGGCCACAAGAGTCGCGCTGGCGACCCGTGGGGCTCCTCCACTGGGAATCTTCTGGTCTGTGAGTGACAAAAATTTGTCTGAAAGTGTGGCATCCTCTCGTTCTCTGCGCTTTCACTGGGAGCTACAATCCCAAGCTGTTAGTGATCAGCCATCTTGGATCCTCCCTGTTAAAAAAGAAAAGAAATGCAAAAAGATAATTTTTTTTTGTATTCTCCACCCATTACCTAGAAACATACTCCCCTTTTCAAATTTCTTTATTGACATGCTCTCACTCATCTAGGCTGATGTAAACACTGGGTCATTTTGACATTTTCCTTTTCCTTTGCCCATTTGTATTCAACCTGCCCACCTATGGGTTACGGTGAAGAATTACACTGAAGCACTTAACAAAGTGCTATCAAATAATAGTCCTCTACATATCTTTTGACTTTTTAAAAGTCACAATAATCAAAACCAGTTAATTGCATTTCTCCAATTTTATTCAACAACCATTAAGTATCAGGGATGAACTCATCACCTTTTGGGTCTCTTGCCAAAGCTATACTTCTTCCTCCATCTTCTGTGTCTGTCCCCTGTCAGCACCAACAACCAGGGGCATCAGGACATAACCCTGAGAGTCCTCCTTGACACTGTTCTTGTCTGCTTCACTCAAATAATTCATCACGGAGTCTTACTGATAGAAATACCTGGCTGCAAGTTTCATTACCACCACTGACTCAGTGATTGACATTGGGCGAGTGACTTAACCTCTCTGTTTCAGTTTCCTCATCTGTAAAATGGGAGTGATAATATCAGTTACAGGAAGAGCTTAGACTACCAGCTACCTACCCCATGCTTTGATAGAGTTAGCTATTACTGTTGCCCCCCGAGTCCTTCCTTCTCTCTCCATCTCTGCTTGCTGCTACCTCAGTTAGGGCTCTCACCATCTCTCTTGGGTGTGAGTGCCATTCATCATCTTCTAACTTAAATCCAGCACCTGGTTTCACCTCTTCCAATCCATCCTACCCCCAGGCACCAGCAAAACCAGTGCAAGTGGACAAGCCCAGTATACCACTTTCCTTCTGAAATAGCTTCATCTATTGCTATCTTCTCAGACTATTTGGACTGAAGATCAGTTTGTTTCCTAATCAAGTTTCGCTAACAGAACATACTTATGTAAAAGAGTAAAACTTATTTATTGGAAAAATTTAATACAACAAAACCCAAACACGTACAAAATACAAGCCCCAAATTTTAATTGTCACACTTCATAGGGAATAAAGAGTCTGTCAAATTGCTGACAGGGCGTGGTGACTCACGCCTGTAATCCCAGCACTTTGGGAGGCCAAAGCAGACAGATCACTTGAGGTCAGGAGTTCAAGACAAACCTGGCCAATGTGGTGAAACCCTGTGCTACTAAAAATACAAAAATTAGCCAAGCATAATGGCACATGCCTATAATCCCCGCCACTCAGGAGGCTGAAGCAAGAGAATTGCTTGAACCCAGGAGGTAGAGGTTACAGTGAGCCAAGATTGTGCCACGGCACTCCAGCCTGGGTGACAGAGCGAGACTCTATCTCAAAAAAAAAAAAAAAAAAAAACAGTCTGTTGAATCAAAGCAAGTTTCTAAACATGCAGTCCCGATTTCTCCACTCATCTCATCATGGACCCGTGACAAACAGCTGCTGAACTGAGAACTGCCCTGTGAGAAGCACCTAAGTTAGGAGCCCCTCACTACCTACAGTCCAGCTAGTTTATTGCCTAATCTTATCCTCCAATCCATCCCCTCTTCCACACCCCAACTCTTCCTGCAAAATGTGTCTTTATGCATTTTTGCATTCATTCACTTACATATTATTTATTGATTGATTAACTTGGGTTCCTCCTCCATCTCTGTTCCTTCCCACATGCTGTTTCCTCTTCCTCTTCCCATTTTTGTGACAAGAAAACTCCCAGACAGATGCTGCACGGTCTACAGTCCTTGCATCTGCTGCATGGCGTTGCAGCTGCCTGCCAGCCCCTGCTTTGTCCCTGATGTGACATTGGTTGTCATCACCTTCCTCGACACTCCTGTGTGGCTGCCAGCCCTCCGGCTAGCACGGTCTCTCCCAGCCTTAACAGTCACAGGTTACTGAGTCCTTCTACCAACAACGCTGGTGTGACGCTGGTGCTTCTGTAAGAAAGGAAGGTTTCCTCCCTGGATCACTAAAGCCATTTGAGCCTTTTAGTGAAAGCCTGCTTATTTCATTCCTCTCTCCTTTCTCCTAAGGTAACTGGGGCAATGCACTTGAAGACTGCTCCAGAAAACATATAAAGACACCACCTTGTATCTCATCAACTTTGCCGGCTCTGCCGACTCTGTCGGTATTCAGCTGTCGGTATTCAGCTGGCTACAATAAAAAGCAGAAAGAAAAGCACATCCCCACCACAAAATAAGCATTTAGAGCCATTCAGGAAGGACCAAAATTGTGAGATTGTACTGGTGGCTGGGGTAATTCAAGGAACAGCACAAGTTGGCGACCTAGA